AGAGAGAGAGAGAGAGAGAGAGAGAGAGAGAGAGAGAGAGAGAGAGAGAGAAAGAAGTCTCCTCCTTTGTATTATAGTTCCCGTTAAACATTGGCTAAAGAAAAGGATACACAAAGCTTACGAACAAGACTTACAATAGAAAAAAATATCTTTGATTTATCCTTCAGATCAAAATATAAATTTTCCATAATAAAGGAAAGCAGGACTCACTAGGCACTAGTCAGTTGCAATTGAAGAAGGAAAGTCTACATGCACAAGAATAGAACAGCTACATTTTGTTAGCACAGTCCTAAGAGAATAGTTAATAATAATAATAATAATAGACAGCATTTGTATAGCGCATATCCCCGCTCAACAGCAGGCTCTATGCGCTTTACACTATATTATTACCCCAGCAGAATATAGAACACTCCGAAACATTCTCAGCTTCCCGGGAAGCATACAGATGAGAAACTTGTCCCGAATGAAGAGAAATTGTGTTAAGGTTAGAGTAAGCATAAAGGAGGGATCTACATTGCATCAAAACATCTCTGACTTTTAAGATTAGTTACTATTGACATTTGCTTTTCACTAGCCCATTTTACTAAGCTCCTTCACTGTACATATTCTTTATTCTACAGTGGAGTCCCCTTAACTCCTTATCCTTGGCAGGTCACTCCCAGCGGTTTGCAGTTGGGAATTTTTTCATTAGATGAAGAACCATCAGAACAGGAGAATATGTTTTGATTTGATGGCCTCTTTAGTGAAGCATATTTCACTGTAGTTTTTGAAGCAAGAGAGGGCTCTGGCATATTGAGAAAAGCCCCCTCTGAGAGTTAAACCAACATCTGCAAGACCACCAAATTTTTTGTCCAGTTTAGCTGGGTTTTTGGTTAAAGAGGTTGTTCAAACATAAAATATAAAAAAAATTGTGGTTTTTTTCCTTTCTTTTGGGTTACTGCAGTTTTCTGTTTAACTGTACTTGGTTCAAGGACTCTACTGTACTTATTATTTTTTTTATGCTTATGCGCAACACACATTTCTAATCTTAAAAGTCAGAGATGTTTTGATGCAATGTAGGTCCCTCCTTTATGCTTACTCTAACCTTAACACAATTTCTCTTCATTCGGGACAAGTTTCTCATTTCAGCAAGGCAGTTCTGCTTTCAACAGGCAGAGCAAGCACATGATACTTTTGAGTTCCCAATTTTCATCTGATAAACAGGCACTTCATCTGACCTATCAAGAGACCAACGTTGTAAACAATCTTATTTGTCCATCAGTCACACCCACATATATGATACATCTCAGATTTTACTAGATATTTTGGCAGGACAATTGAGCACTGATCACCAGGCTAATAAATCCCCATAAAACACATACTCTGTCATTTGAATGAAAATCCAAGAAAATGTGAATGTCGGTTAAATTGACTTTTGAAAAGATTTGATTTCATTTCCATAGATGCTGACATCTCTCTATAATAGTTTAGTGTTGATTACTCAATATTCAACAAAATTGGACAATTCGAACAAAAGATACAATTTTAATATTTAAAAACACCTTTTCTCTCCAATTTTTGATAAAACATGATTTCGTTAGGCACAAGATATTCCAATTCAATCAGCAGTTCAGAAATGTAAAAGAAATTTGTATTTCAGAAAAATAAAACCGTAAAGGTATAACTAATTTCAACAACACTGAAATCAGTTCTATCTCATAATGTACTTCAATTCCCATGATGATGCATTTTCTTTTTCTCTTATTTTTGGCGTATAAAAGTTTAAAGGTAATTAATATTTATCATCCAATAAATTCTTATTACATATAGTGCTGTTTGTTCAATTAATTATAAACATTCAAAACATTTGGCAGATGAGAATATTTGATTGATCAACAAATGATGAAAAAAAGGTTTCCATGTAAAATGCAAACAAATCAGCAGCTTTTGACATTTTAAAATGAGAGTTTTGACATGCAAAGAAGCACCATATCTCTGACAACAAATTCACAGACAGAAGAAGTATCTCAATCAGAGTCAGCACATATGTAAATGGGGGCTCTCCTGGTCTAGAGGTTAGGTTACAGTGTTTGCCTCTCATTCAATAGAGCATACGAAACCTAACAGCGACCCACAAAATTTGGTTAGACTCTAAAATGTTCTTTCCTGCTTTCTAAACATGTTCTGTCGTCTGCTTTTGTCTCTACTTTCTGCCCCCTCCCCCACCCCCTTTGCCCCCTCTTCTGAGCTCCCGACTTTTTCACTGCTACTCCTTGGCTCCCTCTTAATGCTGTCTTTCAGCCACACCCCTGATCTTATGGTAGGTAAGATCTAACATCTAGCATTCTCAGATAAGGGCTAAAATCTTGGAGATCCTGTGTGCAAGTTGCGCACGTTTAAGATTCCTTGGTGGTCCTAAAATCTATAGCAATAGGCTTCGGCCGTCACCCGCGCAAAATTCAAAATTCCTGCCAAACTGAAAATATTGTGTCCCGCGTGTTTCTATGAGTTATTGTATGCAGCCGTGAGTGCCATAAAACACTTACCGAAACAAACATATTATGTAAATGAAGCAGATTGAATAAAGCTTGATAGTTTAAAACTGGAGTTCTTTTAACTATCTGGCCGCCAATCTTCATTTGCCCAGCTGTCTTTCAAAATTAGGGAAAATTTCTGAAAATATATCCACCAAATTGGATATTGGTTAGTTCTATGTCCCTGTTTGTTTCTTTCATACTTAAAGGCACCCATTTACCAGCTTCTAAATTTGTTACTTATCACAAAAGTTGGAAAGAACATGAACATTATACTACAGTCTAGTGTGCACACAGTGAAATCTGCAGGGTGCGGATATCTTTTTGTTATGTACCAATTTCGCTATACAGGCATATATGATTTAAATACAATGAATTTAATGTGTAAGAAAAAATTTGGGACATAAAAATCTGTTCACTTAGTGCATGTCTCGCTAAGTGCATGCAAGACTATTTAGATCAGATTTCAGGCTTTGATATCAAAGAACAGGACAGTATCACAACACTCTGAGTTGTCTAGCCATACAATGAGAGGCAAAGGCTTTCGCAAAACAAAAAAAAGCTTCAGTACACCAAATCTAGACTTGTAAAATGATTATCCCCGTAATAAACTATGAGTCTTCCTGTTGCACATCAGTTGTCAGATTGCTCTGCAAAACCTCTGTATCACCAGCTTCCCCCTCACGACTAGTGATAAAGAATTTGGAGTCCAAATTTTCAGCTTGTGATCCCTCTTCCTTCTCGTCGTCATCACCATCGTCATCATCCTGTGGACTTTCTCTCCCAGACGGGCTTTCCCTCTCAGCATCATTAGGGCGGGCAGGGTCTTTGGCTGGTTTAGTAGGAGGAGGTACATTCTCTGCATACACTTTGGCAATGAACTCATCAGACCCAGCATCATCAACAAGCTTCTGTGTCTCTTCTGAAATGGGACCGGCTCTTTCACTTGCATCCTCTAAGCTTTCCAAGTAATGGACTGTGTTCTGTATAGGACGAGAGAAGAAATGGATGCTGGGTGTTTACACATATTGACTCTATCACACACATGACTTTTACCTATCTTTCTTGGTATACTGACAACGTAGAACACAGAAAATTAAATAAAAAAGTCAACAACATTACAAGCTGTAAATTCAAGGGATTAAAAAAGGAGGAATTATGAAAAGTCTCAAATTTCCTTTGTATTAATAAAATCTGCAGGACTTTTTAAAAACCATGTTTAAAGAAACTGCAATGTATAAAATCAAAGAATAAAAAGGAAAAAATCAGGGATTAGAGATCCTTTCCTATTAACGAAAATTTCCTGTTAAACAAAGTATAGTGAATATATCCCAGGAAAACTGCTTATACCGATGAAAAGCCTATCAGTTACTCCACAAATGCTGGCATTCATCATACTTCCCTGTTTTTCTGAAACAAAAATAAAAGCTTTTTAAGCAGTCTCTTATCAATAATAATAATAATAATAATAACACACACAAACTATGTCTGTGAGAGTAATTTACCTCAATGTCTACAAGATAAGTTTCCGTCTGTGCACTCATTTGTCGTAGCTTCTCCCTCATCTTCTGGATACGTTTCTGTGGATGACCATAATGTTTGTTTGAGTGGAGAAAAACATATCAAAACAAATGGAAGACATTTTGGAAAGACAAAAAGTGTGACCTACCAACTTTCAACTGGAAAATTTTGATCCAAACCTGACAATAACCCCATAAAAACTTAGGGTTCCCAAAAACTTAAAACTTCAAATTAATGAATATTCTCTTTAAAAATCTTGAGCATATCAGAAAACGTTAACAAATATCAATCAACAATTAAAAAATTACTTTAAAAATATTCACCCATATCTGACAACAATCTAAAAGAACTTCATTACTAATATAAATTGTCCCTAAAATTATGTTAATCCATGTCTAACAACAATCACAAAATAACTACAAGTTGTAATGAAATAGTCACTTAAACAAATATATCAATTTATATATAGGGCTGAAGGACACACAGTTGCTGAGTCAGTGCACCCTTGAGGACGAGGCTGGAACTTTCATTGAGTTAATATCCAGTCATTGTGTCATTGAATATAAAAACAGAAACATCAACCAGAAAAAAATGCAATTTGGTACTGTCTGTAAATGAGCTACGCATCAGGAGGTAAGACATTAAATAGTCATGAGTACAGCAGTGGGTAGCTTCTATCTGCACACAAAGGCAGGCTCTCTGCCTGTTACTTTATTCTTCCAAAAGGAATTTTTTTAAATAGTAGAAGGTTTTACGGCGCTCGCAACTGCATAAGGTCATATGAGTGCCAAGGGGTGAGTGTCAACAGAGAAATCTTTACAGGGAATCAGACTTATTCTGCTCACCTCTCTAGCTTCAACAGCACAAGGTCTGCTTTGACTATCAAGGCACCCGGGAAATAGCAGGTCATAAGAGAATGACAAACATACAAAAGAACTTGAGGAAAATGACAATAGTAAGGATTAAGAAAGAAAAAGCAGCAGTTCCCTGTTGTAGATCACGCACAGTTATGAGCGTGACATAAATCAGCCCATTTACAATTCTACTGTGCTTGAACGAGAAATGTCCCCCCCCTTGGGAATGGCCTAAAGACACTACAGTCAGTGGCACTGCTCCGGGGGGTTTCAAAAGGAAAAGGAATAATAACAAAAATATATAACAAACCATGTCAGAACATTAATTAATATTATTTAGTATTCTGAAACAAGTAGCGAAGATGACACGCCACTAATAATTTAAATGGTTAAGTTCTGAGAAAGAGTCCACTTCCTCATGCTAGAACAAAAGAAGAAAGAATATATTTATTTTGCAGTATAAGCAACACACACACACACACACCTTATCTCCACGGTCTGAAATTAAAAAGCTCCTGCTATGCTATAATTATCTTCAAGAATCTTTTCTATATTCCTATGCCTATGTAGAACAATTTTTAAAAAGAAATAAAAGATAAGTAACAAAAATTATCACTTTTGCAAATGCTTGAGTAAAAATGACTAGCTTAAATCTGCCAAAAACTTTTAAAGTTGAAGGAGTTTTACCTTTGTGAATTTCTTTGTTGACTCCATCTTCTCTTTATCTTCTTCAGCAATCACAGTTTTTTCACCAGTCACTGCGGAAGGCAAAGTTCATTCAACTACCCTTCAGCTTCAACAAAATAAAACTCACTCATTCTGCTATCGTCCAGCAACAAAATGGACCTGAACATATCCAACTTTTATAGACAGCAAGTTCTTCATGTTGCTGTGCATTGTTAAATTCAATCCTAATTGATAAGCTCTACTCCTGCAAATTCAACTCGCACACTCAGTTCTTATTGTCTGAGATAGTGGTAACTTGTGAAATTTAAGACACAAATTTTCCACTGAGAAAAACACAAAGCAGGTTTAAAAAGAGAGAAAGCTATCAGCAACTCAATGAAGTGTCAGTAAGGAACTGACAGCCAAACAACAGAAAACCATTAACTACAAGCCTGCCCAATGCAAGAGGCACTTAAAAGGAAATTGCTACCTCAGAATTACCAGGTTTTATCTGACATTTTTGGCTGTTTTAAGCTACTAAGACTAAGACCATGAGGTCAGAAACCTAATGTTCTATCCCTATCAAAATTGTAAGATTATTCTGAGTCGTTTTCAAGATATTCAAAGAGCTGCATTGAAAAAGCTTGACATGTGAAATTAAACATTGTTAACGTCACATTTCTTAAAATTAGGTACGGTATAGAACAGAGAGAACTTTGTAATCCTCAGGTAGCAAAATATTAACCCAACCCTAGGCAGGGAGACCTAAACCTCACAAGGGCCCGAAGGATCTGCAGCAAACAGCAGCATTTGCCTTACAGACTGAAAAGATGAATGAGAAGAAGAAAAGAAAGCAATACTATTAATAACAGACAAAAGTCAAGCTAAGGTTTTCAGAGCAACTATGGCTGCTAAAAAAGAAATTTTACATAATACTAACATTTGTTTGAGTTTGTGCTCTAAGAAAGAAAATTAACCACGTGACATTTCCAATCATATATCCAAACCAACAAAATACTACACAGCCACAAATTTCTTTTTAAAAAAATAAAAGAAACTTTCAGCTGAAACAAATGTACATACCAGGATCAATCCCATTGAGGATGAGTTTTTCTTCTTGATCAGTTCTGGTGAAAAACAAAAACAAGTAGAAGCAAAATACTTAAAAGTATGCAACAGTAGAAAATATACTATTTTTGTGAAAATACTATTAAAAGTACTATTGAAAATGGAATCAGTTCATCAAATTACTGATGCAAAGACAGTTAACTTCTGTACTCCACTTTATTCATGTGTAAGATGCAACTTTATTCAAGAAAATGAAAATCGTAATCAGATCTAGTGGAGGCAAAAATTAAGAGAGGTCTCATTACTTTTCCTTTCTCCTTCACTAAAACAAAGTCAGCCATTACATCAATAATTATGACAAGCTCATTTCTTTTCTTAATGCCCCCACTTGTTATTGAAATGTGATAAAAATTATTTCAAGCTAAGACAACTAAGAGTAAGCAAATAAGGTTGTCTGTCAAAATGGTACCATAAAGACATGCAGAAATAGTAGTCCAAGGAATATAATATGTCTTCTTTAATTTCGCTCTCCTAGTAGCCTCATTTTTTAAACACCACGACAAACTAACTTATTCTCTACATATTTTCTTAGAAACCATTCAGTGTTTGCCAAATCAGTGATACAACTATTGTCTTTTTACTCAACCATTTTGTAGGCCTACCAAAACACCCGAAGCAGCTGTGCTGGAATGACTTACAGTATTAAAAAAACCTGATTTTTATGACTTGATTATAGAAGTTTTCCATGCATATGTGAGGCATCATGGTGAAATCAGGCGCTCATCAAAACAATGAAATCAAAGAAATTGACTTTTTTCTGATGGTTTGGCATCAAATTTTTGTTTTTTGGTTCATCACTTTTTATGTCCTTTTGAAAATACATTTCTGTGTGGATTTTTACTAAAAATAATTGATTAAATGCACAGAAAATGTAAATTTTCAATTTCCAAGTACTCTCAAGCTTTGGAAATCATCCAACTTTGATGGCCATTTTCTTGGTAATCTTACCTCTGAAACCAGGCGACCCTCATTTCCATCAATGCAAATATCTCGGCTTCCGCTCAAGATAGATGGGTCATTTTTTCATTCAAAGCAACATAAATGAACAAGCTTTAAGATGATGCCAATAACTCCACATGCCCAAAAATTGACCAGCGACTAATTCCACCACGTCGTGACACATATGCCTTTACACTTGGAGGCCAGCTTCAACTAGTAATTTGGTGGTCTTCTGCAGAATACCCACAAGTCAGAGCAACGTCTCTAGCACAGGGGTGGGTCAAACCTCTTTTGCCATTTTACAGTGTTTTTTTGCAGGTTTTAACCTAAAACGTCGTGTTTTACTATTGTATCCATACGAGGTGGGTAACTCTGTACCACCACTTTCCAAATAGGAAATTTACTTGTTAATCCGATCAGTACGCCTTGCATAGTAGTCTGTCAAAATGATTTTTTAGAAATACTGAAAGTTTCAAAGAGATCTTCATACTAGAAGTATTCTAAAATGTGAAGAATACCACGGCGATGATATGTCACGTGACGCGAATGCGCGATTGAAACAATTTTACTAACGGGTCCGACTAACTGCACGTTCACACAAAACACTCAGATGAGCGACAGTTGTTCTACTTCTAGGGTATCGACGGCGGCCGACGACAAAATGTACCAACAAATCTCTTATCCCGCATGTGTTCAGACTAAAGGAACGACAACGGCCGTATGTTAGTCTTGTCAGCGCAGTTACATGTAGTTGTGTAAGGGTTAGAAAGACTGTCACTCGTCCGAGTGTTTGATGTGAACGCGCAGTTACCAGACCTCGGACAAGCCTTGTTTTGAAAGTAACAGCGGAGCTACGAATATTATCGATTATTAAATGTCCCAAATTGTAACAGTTATCAGGCTATCATCGGAGAATTCTGGGTGCGGGAAAAGATCACACACAACTTGGGGCGAGTCAACTACTAAATGCGGCATCGATATTTCGGGAAATAGTGCTCCGAGTTCCTACTGACAAAAAGTTCGACGGGTGCTTCCCGCGATAAAGGAGAAGGCAGAGTAAGTTTTTAGAAAGATCCGGCCAACAGCAGACTGGGACAAAAAATCGGGATACACGCGATCGAAATCGGGAAAATAGGGAGGATTGAGATTTGGGGAAAAAAATCGGGATATCCCGACTAAATCGGGATGAGTGGCAGGTCTGTTTAAACTAATTTTGACAAACAATGAGGCGTTGGATGCACGAACACAAGCTCTTACATTCTTTCTTGCAAAGCTGAAGTCTTATTCTCTGCATCCTCTTGTGCTTCTGGGGAGGACAAGAAATAAAAGAATGAAATCAACTGTAGATATATAACAGAGCATTAGCAGACATTTATGATACAATTAATGACACTGTGAAGGCAGCAGAGTAGGACCCTATTTAAATCAATTCAAAGTTTTTCCTTCTTAAGTTCTCAATGTTCCACATGTGAGAGAAAAACACAACAAAAGCTGACTTTTTAAACTCAAAGGCAACATTTCCAGGATTTGTGGTGCAACAGGCTCTTCATTGCAACCAACAAAGAAGGGAATTTGATTCTTGCCCTCAAGCACATTTGTGGTGTTTAGACACACATGTTGCACAATAATTCCAATAAAAACGTGTTTTCTGTTGTGGCATTTGAAGTGATAATTATGAAATCCTAGTCAAAACAGAGGAAAATTTTCATGTCTGTTTATAAAACTTGTATTCTCTTATGACTAAAAAAAAACAAACAAAATTTGTGCCAGGGACAATGACTTTTCATCAGGTACAATAGGTGCACCTAGAACCTAAAGTCAAAATATTTTGTTTAAAAAAAAAATTAAAAAAAAAAAAAACCCAGTGCAAAGGCATTGAGTACAGCTGGCTTATTCCACCTTCATCTGTCTTTTGGGAAGCATACTGTTAGCAACTGTTGGTCTCCATAAAAATAACCTGTTAAAACAATAAAATCAGTACTGCATAATCTAAACTTCTCACAGTATGGTATTTGGCAACGAGAATCTGCTACCACATCCTATTGAACTAAGTTCCAATGGCACAATGCAAAAAAACAGTTCAGGTACTTTTATCTCACCTTGAAGTAGTTTCTCTCTCTGCTCCAGTAAATCGGTCATAGTTCCAAGCTGAGCCTGAAATCACAAGAAAAATTGTATTGCATCCATACACACAAAATAGTAGCCAAACTTTTTAGCTTTAGTAAGTGTTTTACGGCACTTGCAACACAATAAGGTCATTTAAGTGATGAAAATTAGTGTTACAAGAGAGTAACAAACACAAAAAAGGAAGGAGGAGAGATAAGGATGATAGATGTTTGATAGGAAAGAAGAAGCAAACCACAAAAGAGCATCCGCCAACCACCCACAGCCAAACTTTGCTCTGAAATGCAATCCAAGCAGTAGAAGAGTAAACTAATTTTTGTCTTTCTGTCATGTAAGAAATGGAGAAGCAAACAGATAATGTGATTGCTATCCTGCTGAGAGATGCAGTTTCAGTTCTAAAAACTCAAGACAACAGAAAGGAAGAAGACGAGCTTGATTATGATCATGTTCATTAAATTAAATTTTGAAATACACAACCACTTGGAAGTAAATAATCCAAAAATTATAGATGCTGGATGATACTGGATCAAATAAAATAATGGGAAACATGCTGATCAGAACACATGAAGTTTAAAGATGTTTATATTTTTGTGAGAGTGAGATAAGTTTATTAGACTTAATTATGTAGAACAGAATTATCTGCAATAGAGCTCCCAGCATTAGAACCCAGTCCGCCTTAGAACCAGCTTTACACTATACCGGCAACAGAATTTTTTCTTTAAGATTTTGGTACAGGACAGCACATCCACGCACCCTTGTTCCACTTGTTTCAAATGGCTCTGCTGGTATTAAAACGCAACAAGCTTCTCAATACACACAACCACGATTCCCAATGCAATGCTGTAACTGATGACACACAGCGAATTTAATGAAAGAAAAGGCAATGGGTGGAAAAAGTGGTTGGGTTGGCAGGAGAGTGGGGGATAGTGTTGATTACAGGCTGACAAAATCTACGTCTTGCATACACACACTGATAGAGAATGATTATGAAAGTGTTCACAAGAGCTTTACTGAGCTTGTACAATCGTCAAGAGTTTTTAAAAATAGATTTAGTGACTTGATCTTCAAATTGTTAAAGTGTTATATTTTGTAATAAAGCTAGCTCATTTACTGGCCATTTTTACCATTCACCTAGGCAGTATTGCAACTAGTTCTGTTTTAAAATTTCAATTTATGTTGTCAGATCAATATATAACACTTCAGTGTCAAGGATTTTCCCAATGAAGCGTGAAGTCACTGGTACTCAGTTGCATCTCAAACAATGCTCACAAATATGTGCACATACCATAAAAATACTGTTTAAAAAAAAAAAAATAAAAAAAAACCCCAACCAAAACAAACCTCTCTAACTTTCTTTGAGTGTCAGTACTGCCTGTGTCATATTTCATTACATCAATTAAAAAAAAAAAAAGACATCATGTAACCGACAGGAGCTTAGTACTGCCTCTTGAAATCTACGGAGCAACGAACTCCAGCAAACAAATCGCCTTTTTTCCTCCATATGACTGCTTCTCAGGCAGAGACCACTATGGTCAAGATCTGTAATAACTGACGTAAAAGCTTACCTCTGCTTCGTGTAATTGACGTTCCATCTCTTCTTTACGTTTCAGATAATCAGCCTTAGACTGGCCTCTTAATTTTTGGCTAACACTTTCAATCTTTTCATCTGCATAAGTTTCAGAGCTGTCAAAAAGAGAAAAATTGATAAATTATCAAACTAACGGCAAATCATTCGAAGGTAGGGCCTATATCCCTAAAAACATTCGTTGAGGAAAATATAGTTTCGAAAGAGAACAAGAATACAAAAGACAACTGAAACAGTGAAAGTTCTCCATAAAATTTTCATATCATACGAAGTGAATAGCTCCAGAAACACATCCAAGGAAGAAAAATTCTAGTCAAAACACTGAAGTGTAATTTACAAACATTGACAGATTTAAGAAAAACAGAAAGCAAAAACACTTCCAAATAAAGGGGCATGATTTCATTTATTGGAGGACAACAACATTCTTCTGTTCAAGTTCAGTACTTCACTTTTCATGTTTCAAGTAGATACAATTTTAATTTTCTTCATTTTCACTCATCAAACTATGAAACCTCAATTTTAGTGACAGCCAAGCAAAACAAGGACAGCCTCTGGCAGTATCTGCAGCCTCCAGCAAACTTTTAAAAAATAAGGTGCTAGTAGTACACACAGGAGCCTCATGATGGACAAAAAGGAGATTTGAAGAGGAAGGACTTCCGTAACGAGCGACCACCCCATCAAACACAATAAAGAAAAGGCCTAAACCTAACCCTAGATCTACCCCTACCCCTGAGTTCTGCTCTGTCTCATAGTGGTCGCTCGTTACGGAAGTCCTCCCTTTGAAGATTATCTCATCAAAAAGGGAGTGTATACAGACCCGGTAACCGGGAACAAAGTCACAAAGTATACAGACCCAGTAGGGGAACTCATTTGTGATTTTGGAAAGTTTCAGCGCCCTCTTGGCTCAGGGTAGACCTAGGTTCTTCTAGATCTATGGCCTAGGCTAGGTCTAGATCTAAACAGACAGACATAAATCATTGATCTAGTTTCGAGGCTAGCCTAGATCTAGATTTAAATGAAGATTGCGGATGTCTTTTCGATGAAAGAAAGATAGTTTTTCCTCCGTTTTGGAGTTGGAGGAATCACAATTTGAAGAAAAGAACAAAGTCATAATTTCTCTCGAGCAGTCATCCTCTCTATTTCTCTCTCTCTCTCCCTCCCTCTCTCTCTGTCACTCGCATTCTCTTTTTCTTTTTTTGTCTGTCTTTCTTTCTCCCCGCCTATTTCCCACTACAAAGGAATCCTGTTATAACGAGAGGGAGGGGACCAGTGCGAAATGTCTGTTATACCAGGATTCTCGTTATAAGGAATCCAGTAATAAATTGAATGGAAATAATGAAGTAGGCCTAATCTATCAGTTTGGTGTTCTGTTTATTTCTTTTTGTTATCTCCCCTGATGATGACATTGTTCAACATGACCTCTAGGTCTTACTTGATCAAAAATCAAATCAGGTTTCTTTCTCAAGCGCAAGCGATGTTGACAGCACGGCGTTAGCAATCAGAAAGAATGCACTCTGGGCTAACTCGTCCTCTGTGTTGTCCCCCATCCCACCACACACCGTGGTGTGTTTCGTCTGCTTGCGCACGTTACTACACATTCACTCCATCCATCACACCATTGTGACCTCTCCATCCTCGCATTGGAGAAGTGAGGGCATGGGTAGTGGTAGGCCTAGATAATCTAGACTAAGCTGGCCTATCACACGATGCGTTCTGCTTTTCTGCGCTTACCACACCCTCCCGACTCATTCGCTCCGACCTTCATTGTTGGCAAACATGGGCTCTCCTATTCTTTGTTTCTCTCAAGGAGTTGATGTGAGATCTTAGGTTTCGCTAGATCACCTACAAGTTTCTCAACTGGCGAGGTTTATAATATGTATAACTGGCCTGTGCGCTGTGCACAGCAGCAGCAATATTCCGCTATAACCGACTCCCCGGGTTGTCCGATAGCGCAGCAGTATTTTATTTACAAAGATAAAGAAGGGAAAAAAATGGGGTTTTAGAACAGTGTCATTATAACAGACTTCTCGTTGTTTCAGGACTCGTTATAAGTGGACTCCACTGTATATCTTTCTCTCGTTCCCTCCTGCCAACTGGGGCATGTCATACATTTTGCTAGCACTTCCCCCTGCTCTCTCTCTCTCTCACACGCACACACACACACAAAAACTACCGGGTCTGGGCGCTGAAACTTTCCGAAATCACAAAAGAGTTCCCTTACCAGGTCTGTATACTTCGTGACTTTGTTCCCGGTTACCGGGTCTGTATACACTTCGCATAAAAAAACATTGACAAGATGTTCTCCAAATGAAAATTCAGGATCTGCTAAAGTTAAAGCAAGGTAAAATGTTTTGAGCAAAGGGTATTCTCCAAATTGGATTGTCAGAAAAGTGTGCCAAAAATTATCATTGAATGATGGCTTTTTCTTTAAACTCTTGAGGCAACAACAACACCACCACTTGTTGAGCAAGCCAAGTGAAAGCTTTATTGTCAATATTGAGAAATTATAGATCTAGAATCGGCGATTTTGTAGTTTCGTTCATTAAAGTCAAGAGTAGGGGGGTCTCAGGCCCCCCTGACCTAATAAAAATATATGGAGGGGGGGGGGGGGGGATCAGGGGGGCAGGCCCCCCTGAATTTTTATCCTAATTTGATGTTTTGCAGTTAGGTTGCATCCCTACTCTTTTTGTAGCCTATTTCAAATAGTAATAGTATTTGGTCATCAAGACTTCTGGATTTCTTCTCTGGATGTAAACAAATAATGGATCGTGGACTTTAATGAACGGAACTACAAGATCACCCTAGAATCTAGTGTAACATATATACCTTTGATTCACTTCTGTAACTGGGGGTCTTTTTTGCATGGCTTTGGCAAGTGGGTGGTGGGATGACGGCTGGGGGACTGGATTTGATCTCTGCTGTGTTTTCTTTTGCTTTTTCGACACATCCTTAGCAGGCTTTCCTACTGCAGCGTGGTTTCCAGTCTTCAAATGACTTTGAACTGGGTCTTGAACTTCAACTTCTTCTGTATCTTGGTGATGGGCATCTTCTTTAGGAACGGGTATACGGGATTTATTTTTATTATTGAAAGCCATTATTAAGATCAGAATTAGATCTAGAACAACACTGATAGGCCTACTTGGCGATTTACATCATCATAGCCATACCATAGATCTAGAATTTTAGAAGAGTCATAGACTCACTATGAAGAATCTACTCTATCACTCCCTTCTATCAAAACTAAAACGTCAAAACGTTGTTGTCGTTTTGAAAACTTCGATTCAACGAACCAATGGTCCTAATTAGACCAAAATGGAATAGGTATTGGGTCTAGATCTAGACATAGACTCTGACTAGGCCTTGATCTATTCAAACTTTTGAAAAGTAGCTTTCTAAGCGACCCACAAACCACAAACTAAGATCCCCAGATCTACAAACAATCCGTTCAGTGTCCGCGCATTCTTGTTTACATCGGTTCATAAGCACAAATCTAGGAAATTCTATGACATCTGTTCTGACATCCGAAATGCACCGCAATTAATTCATGAAATGTTTTTTTTTTTTCATTTAAAAAGTCATAGCTCATAGTAATGTAAAAAAGAGAAAAAGGGGGTTCTAACAAATGTGCTATACAATCAAGTCAGTTAGTTATTTTTTTTAGTTGTGAAAATACAATTTTGAAACCCAACATTAACTCTTTAGCAAAATAGCGAAACAATCACCGGGATACGTACGATGCGGTACAATGAGATTTAGGCGTCCTAGGATTCAAGATGGATGATTGCGATCTTGAAAAATTAACTGTGAAACCGGGAAGCCTTTCTCCGGCATTCAAGAAAAATGTTCTGGAATACAACGTAACAGTTCCAAGTAGTGTTGAGAAGATAACTTTTGACCCGCGCACCAGTGACACCGGAGCTTCATATTCTATATCTGTACGTTGACGGAATGCAGGATCAAATAATAAATTATTGTTATATATAATAACTGTTTATATTAACGCAGTGGCAGTTCACGGGGCCCGGCTACGTTCACGACGCCGTGAATGCAGTTTGCAGGCGCTGTTCAGGCTTCGTTCACGGCACTTAAGTTTTGTTTAGACGGAGCGTCCACTGCTGGTTTAAGTAAGTCGGTTTTAGTCAGTGACATATAATTAATATTTTGGCCAGCTTCACAAGTATTACATCCCATGAGATGAAGGAAAACGAAGTGCCCTTGCCTTACAGAATTAAAGTTGGGATGGAAAATTGGATACGGCAGATCAACATGGGAAACATGGAGGTGAAAGATGGGAAACAAGGTGGGATTCAGAAGATGGGACTGGTCATAAAATGTGTACAATAATGACTGTATTGCAGCGGGTCAGCCTAGGAACCGACGCAGAGAGAAAATGACGGGAATCATTCATTCTTATTATAATAACAAACAACCTCTCTCTCTCTCTCTCTCTCTTTCTGTCTGTCTTTCTCTCCTCTGTCTCTTTCCTTCTCTCTTTCTCCCCCCCTTCTCTCTCTATTTTTCTCTGTCTCTGTCTGTCTGTCTCTCCCTCCCTCTTTCTCTTCCCCCACCCCCTTCTCTCTCACCCCCCCCCCCACCTTCTCTCTTTCTCCCTCTCTCTCTCTCTATCTCTCTCTCTCTCTCTCTCTCTCTCTCCCTCTCTCTCTCTCTCTCTTTCTCTCTCTCTGCTCTCTGTCTCTCTCTCACAAACACACTCACACACAACACACACACACACACACTGCCTGCAGGCAAAATTGCACGCTTTCAACTCGAGAGCGCTGGAACATTTGTTTACCCTCGTATGTTGTGGGCCGCCACGCGCTAACACAAGGTCGTGCCCAAGTCTCACCCAGAAGCGAGATAGAGCAATTGAAACATCTTGGTAGGCGTATACTTTAAAATTTTTGTCTTATACTAATGCGTTGTTGCGTAATTGAGAGTTCATCATCTTCCCTTACACTGGCGAGCTCTGAGCCAGACAGTGTAAAGGAAAACGACTAATGGTCGATCGGTCAAGGATCATTGCTTTGTTTTCCTTCATCTCATGGGATGGAATGCTTGAAGCAGGACAAAAGATTAAATATACATCACTGTTATCACTGACTAAAATCGGCTTACTCAAACCGGCTGTGGACGCTCCGTCTAAAATAAGCTTGAGTACCATGGACGTAGCCTCAACAGTGCCTGCAATTTGCATTCAGGGAGTTGTGAACGTAGCCTGCCAACTACGTTCACAGCGCCGTGAACGTAGCCACTGGGTATAAATTATCACTGTGATTATTCTCACACTGGGTACTCTTCGGGGTGAGAATAATGACAGCCTAGTATTCTCACTCGCTTTTTTCGTTTCAGCCCTTTTTATTTTGTTTCGAAGTGACTTCTCAATGGAGTACTTCAGGGGAAGAGACCAAGAGGAAGGCCAACATTTATTACAAAGACAACTGAAAAACAGTTTTTATCTAAGTTTGGAGTAGGCTAGATGTCTGCATCTGGGAAGATAGCCGAGGACAGAAAACATGGAGGAAAATGATAAAAAGGAAAGATCACTATTGTGCTTGAGAGAAACCTCAGAAACAACCAGGCTGAAAAGCACTGACGACAAAAGGAAAACAGCAGAAATAGCAGAGCTTCCTTCACTGACATGATGCAAGCACTGTGACGGAATCTGCACTTCAAACATAGAAAGAATTAGCCCTAAAAGAAGCTGCATGAAGACAATGCTTGAGTTGAGCTATTAAATTGACCGTCTGCATAGTCGAAAAATGCCATACAGTAGTGAAGTAACAAATAATCCACCAAAACAACTATAATGTAGTAACGATAGCAATGCCTGCCTAACCCAATATGAATGATAACGCTATGATACAAACTGAATTTATAGCCTAGACTATAGAGAGCAAGGGCTCTCATGTCAGATATCTGATGCTTGAGTTTTGACTATTCAAACTGATTTGTCTCACATTCAGCTAATGTCAGACACACACACACATACACACATACACACACATACATGCACACACTGTAATCACACACACACACACACACACACACACACACTCACACACACATAACAGATACACACACATTTATACACATGATGAAGGTCCTCTGCTATGACACATTATATGTGTCATGACACAGTGGAATCAGGCATTTGTCAATTTTTGGTCGTATCAGTATCATCTTAAAACTTGTTTTTTTGTTTTTGCTTGCGATGAAAATATACTCATCCATCTTGAATGGAAGTCGAGATATTTGCAATTAAAGGAGGTGGGTATAATGTTGTTTGGTTTTTGGGTTCAAAAAGTTTTAAAAAGACTGAAGATGCACACTTGAAAAGGTTCTTACTTGTTTTGTTTTTTGTCCTCTATCACACAGCAATTGAAAGGTGACTACTGATCAAAATTTAATAAAATACTGTTTAAATCACTGGTATAATAAGTATTGTGTGTAGTGGCGGGGCGTCATTGGTGCTATTGGTGCAAGCGCTCCGCCAAACCCTGGCCTTCACCCCCTCCCCCCACTTTTCTAAATTGTTCTAAACCAGTCAGTGCTCTAGATCTACATTACTACATCCCTGCGATCCGTCACCCGCTGGCTACGCCAGTGAAGAGACAGACAGCGAGGATGATTTATGCTTGTCGCACCGCTTGTGGTAGTGTCTGCTGGGAGCAAGCAAAATCTTTGCACCACAGTAATTTTGTCAATGTAGAGAAATCTAGGCATCGTTCTTCCCACACAAGAAGAAAGGTGCATGAAACTGCTCTTCACATCACAAATTTGGTGCAAGCTAAAAATTTTGTCCCAGTTTCCACTAGCCTATCTACTACACTTACTAGAGTAGTAATAGAGTCTACGGTAACTCAGTGACGAATGAGTATCGGAACTGTTGTCTCCCTTTATTGTGTTGCAAGTCCTGGTGCTGCACGAAGTAATTAGAAATCTGTAAATCTTTCTCAGATTGTGAAAATAGTGAGTTGTTAGTATTGTTTCACTTTATCGCTGATTTTATGCGGTTTCATCCAGAAACAGTTGTAAATATCGATAGATGTAGATTACGGGATATCCTGCAGATTCTAATTGACTTTCTCTAGAAATCTTAAAAGTAGCTACTAAGCCTATTGCCCATTTGCACACTTTCCAACTATGCACCACCTTGTCTGCAACCCACGCGACGCCACTGATTGTGTAATGTACATTATTTTATTCTGGGAGGCACCAGGTGTTAGAAGTAAAATTAGTAAGAAAATGTCAGTCGGATCAAAGTTTGGTAATTTTGATCCAAAGCCTGAGTGTTGTTGGAAACTGAAATTGACATTTTTTGTGCCTTTCATCAATGATTTTCAGTAAATCCATTAGAGAAATGTGATCTTAAATGGACTTAAAAGGTGTTAAATGAAAAACAGCAATTTGATAAAAATTGTCAAACGGGCAGAAAATGCAAGTTTCTTTGATTTCATGATTTTGTCAAGCGCCTGAGTTCACCACGATACCACACACATACATGCATTAAGTTTCATGTATGATATGTTTTGGCTTGATAATATGTGGAGACATGATAATATTTGTCCTCAGGGAAGTGGAGGATCTAGAGATGTTCCTCTCACTGAGGGTGTTGTGACAGATGTAAAGATTGAAGTTACTGCAGAAGATGGCACCACAAAGAATTATTTTGTGCACGTGAAAAGACTTTCTGCCAAAGATGCAGTCCTCACAAACCTCACCATCAAAAGTGGAAACTTGGAGCCAAATTTTGAACCAAATCAACTATTATATTACTGTGAGTTTTAAATTGTCTCAGTTAACCAAATCTGATTCCAGCACATATTAGAATATAATGAAAGCTATGTAAGCCTATCGCTTTTATTTCAAATCATGTTACTGATGAGTAAATCCTTTCATAACATTTTATATAAAGTATTAATTTCTTCTGAGAGATCTCATACATAATTTTGTTTGTACACTGGTTACCATAAGATATGGCTTAGAATCCATTCATATTCTTTCCATGCTTGATGCATGTGCACTGATACCTTTAACTGTCTTGGTAAGGTGAATTTCATTTTTTTTTTTATGTGATAGTTTCAAAGCTCTTTTACACCTGAATTCCTATTTTAAAATGTTCTTATTCATACCATTAAAAACAGCAAACAGTACAAAAGCCTTTTTTAAGTTTAAGAAGTTCTATTTGTTTTCAGGTCTTTTACCATGCAGCATAACTGTAGCAACAGTAACACCAACAACACCTGATCCCAAGATTACTGTGGTGGTTGGCGGGAATCCCCCGAAGACTCCTGTTCCTTTGAACACTGGTCTGACTAATATTGACATTGATGTCACTTCTGCTGATGGGTCCAACAAAAAGGTTTTTAAATACATTTTTTTTTTTCAAGATATGCCTTTTGTTTCATTTTAATGTTTTGAAGTTTTGATCAAATACATTAAATTGGTATTTAAAATTGAGGATTTACTCCATATAAAAACTTTGTTAGACATAGTGATCAAGTCAATTCAAAGACAGGAGTGAAGAACTGCATGTTGTTTGTATTTTGATATCAAGTGAACAAGTATAAGAAGCCAGAATCTCAATATATATCATTTATTTTTCAAATACACAAGAAATGGAAAAGAAATATTGTAGATTGAGTATGATGTCATTTCAATTTCAACGTCATTTATTTTGGGCAGAATATGCAGTTCATCAGAACAAGTTTTCATTTGAAAATAAAATGCTGGCACTTATATTCATCTGATGTCCATGGTTTGTGTATGTTCATGTTTTACTTTGTTCATGATAGTGCATGCTGGTATTCATAACAGGATAATTAGCATTTGTGTATCTTTTCAGACCTATTCTGTGGAAATTGTGAGAAAGCAAATTCCCAGATTTGTGAAGTTCACAGATCCCAAAGCAGCCGCAGAATATGAGTGCCCCATTTCCCTCAGCCCTTTGTACTGTCCAATTACAGTCAAAGGAAGCAAACCGAAGCACACTTATTCTGGTCCCTCCATTACGGAGTTGACTAAGACGTCTAAGATCGATCCTCTCTCTGGAGAAAGTCTAGAGCCTGGATGGAAAATTGCGGACACAGAAGTAGACAAGAAGATGGCAACTCAGATGGCTGTTATTCCTCTAACATTCTCAGGTGAATGCATCAGTTTATTTTTTATTTTTACTGTTTGGATTATTTTCATTTTTGTTCACTGCTGTTGCTGTGTTCAGGGTAACTTTTTCACAGCTGAAGCATTAAACTCTGTGTCATGAAGGAACTCGAGTCAAGCTTAGTTTCTGTTCAGTGGTAGCTTTTGGGACTGGTGTTGTTGTTTTCTCCTCATTTTAAAAAATGAACATGAAAGATGGTCAGTTAGTTTGTTTGTTTGTTTGGTTTTATTTTTGGGTTTTTTTGGGGGGGTGGGAATGGGGGGGGGGGGGGGGGGTGTGAAGTAAACCTAAAATTAATGTGCTTCATTCAAAACATACATCAAGATGAAGTTAACTTAGTATGCTTCATTCAAAACATGCATATCAAGATGTCCATGTCATCTAACATGCATCTGTGTGGTAATTGTGCTTTTTTGTTTAGGGTTGTGTAATTGCTCATGCTTTTGTGTGTGTATTATGACAAAAATGTGCTTGAAAAGTAGATCCATGTAATAATACCATAGCAGCTAGTTTGAAAAGTATATTTAGTTGTAAAGAATTAAGTATGCTGTCAGTAACAGGGTCCAACACCTTAAGAAGTTATGCATGCTACATAACTGTGGATTCTTTTTCTAAAAGAAGACAGTTTGTGCATAAGATAGTATTTTTCTGGAATTCTTACTTTTAGAAGCAGAAAAGGGACAAAACTCAGGGAATTGAAGTATTAAAACAAAAGGATAAACATGCACAAAACTGCCGCCAGTAAAAACTGTGTGTGTGTGTGTGTGTGCGTGTGTGTGTGTGTGTGTGCGTGCGTGCGTGCGTGTGTGTGTGTGTGCGTGCGTGCGTGCGTGCGCGCGCGCACATTTGCATGCAAACACAAGAGATAGGGATGATGTCTGTTTCAAATTTCTGTCTTGGACTCTTTATCAATAGTCAAAGTACCTCCTGATTCTGTGGTATCCCAAGAAATAATTATATAAGTGGAAGCTGGAATAGCCTCTTAAAAGCAAAGCTGTATGCATGTCTACTTCCATCTTGCAGGTGCCACAGAAGCGATGAAGTTCGGAGAGCTTGCACAAAACTTGGCTCAATGTAATAAACCAGCTGAGCTCAAGGTGAGGTGTTATAAAAAAAAAATTTCAGGGATGGGGGTGATAATGATAATGCCATAAAAATTAACTCTATTAGCACAGCAGTTTCTATAATCACTAGCATTTCTTTTACAAAAGTGGTAATTTTGGTTGGTTTAACTATTGAATAATACATATTGTGTCATTTTTTTAAATTGAAAAAGCCTGATAATTCTCCAACAAATTCTCCATTTGTATTGTTTGTCTCAGATGGAAGAAAAGAGGCCCTCCAGTCATGCTCATCTTTATATGGAAATGGCTTAATTGTATTTTCTTCTATCTTGCAGGATCTTTCAGCAAAGTTCAAGAATTCATCACTCAGTCTGTCTCGTACATTACAGGTTTGTGAAATAAAAAAATGAATTACTCTTAATAAAGTTACAAACAAACAAATTTTTCTACTTACAGCTGTATTATAACAGTCTGCATAAATTGTAAAATGTTTGTAATGAAAGGTTCATAATTTCCATTTCTGAGAAAGACAGAATAATATTCGAAAATGAAGATACATATACATGTATGACTAAAATATCTTGGTCAATAACTTTTGTCACTATTTCTTTGAATATTCATAGTTCACTTCATTTTAAACTGACCTCATCAATCACTTAGTTTGTTTTAATGTGTTATTCATATTTGCAAAGATTGTATGCATCTTTCATATAATCTTCTGTCATGTGTTTTAAGCTAAAATGGAACAGTGAAACCCTCAAAATATTACTTGTCAACACTGTGCACCAATCTGTTTTTGAGCGTTGATTATAAATTATCATGTCCTACTCAAGACACACCCTGATGACAACGTCCTAACTCTTTAAACCCACTCGGATGCTGGGAGCGTCCGGCAGTAATAACACTGTTCCCCATCGGACGCTGGGAACGTCCTATACTAGTGACAACTGTTTCATTTCATTTAGTGCTAGTTTTTGTTTGTTTTTCGGAACTATTTCCGAACCAAGTTTTTTTAGCAATGACTAATAGCCTTTGTTTCCGTCTTTTAGAAGTTGGAGGCAAGCTTTTGGGGTTATGATGAGACATAGTGAACCAGGTTTAGGTGACTGTAGATAAAACTCTGGGAAACGGTGGAAAAAACTCAGGGTTTAAAGAGTCAATTGTGGTGTCACTGATATGCTTGAGATTATTGTGATATGGAGCTCACTAACCACTTTGCTACTGGGGCCCTTTGGTATGCTTCAGTGATTTATTTAATTCTTCCTTATCCTTCAAACTTCTTGCGTTTTGCTTATGTTGTCTAATGTCTTCGATGCACACTATGTGAATAGGAACAAAAGTGGGAGAAAGGCCTACAGCAAATCTTTGATGAGACAAATCCAGATGCATTAGTCAAGGCTGCTGACACTCATCTGCTAGAGTATTACAAGAGAGTACCAAGACCTGGTGAGTTGTGCTGAAGTATATGTGTGCTTGTGTGGATGTGTGCATGTGTGTATATGTTTGTGAATGTATGTATATGTGTATGTTTGTGTGTGTGTGTGTGTGTGTGTGTGTGTATGTGTGTGTGTGGGTGTGAATATGTGTGTGTGTGTGAGTGCTTATTTTCTGTGTATATGTGTGCATTTTGTGTGTGATTGTGTGTTTGTGTGTGTGTATCACTCCTTGTTTCCACATGATACTCTTTAGCATCTTTGACATGATTGTTTGCAAAAAATGGATGAGCTAAAGCTTTAATATCTTTAGAAATTTATCAAGTTGAAATTGAAAAATTCCTTGCCAACAATTTCTGCAAAATGCAGCTCATGGCAAAAAAGGATGGGTTGCAAAAGCTGCAAAATGCGGCTTGCACTAGAGAATGAGTTTAAAGTTATTTGCCTTCACGAAAGAACAAAATTAATGTATGTGGTTGAAGTGTTATAGACATTTTAGTGTTTTTATCAAGGAAAGTTGTTGCTGAAATGTTGATGCCACAATATTATTTTCATCAATATTTTTGGTAACACTTTTATGTAAATTATCAGTTTCTCATTCACAAGGGTGAAAGGTTTTGTAAAGGAAAGTGTAGCCTTCGTGAAAAATTTATGCCACATCTATGACAAACCATTCTTTACATTCATTATGTTTCAGGCCAATTTCACTTGCAATACTCTGAAGGGGATTCCCCTATAGACTCCCTCCAGAATGCCATCTACTGTGTCGCTACTGCCATCAAGTTCAAGCCTAAGGATGCTGCTCTTCATCTCAAACTGGCCATGACACTTGAGGAGAAATACTATGCAGAGGACATGTTTGCTTTGAAGAAGGAGGTTAGCCCCTTGCTGTATGTTAACTCAGTAGACAATTCCCTTGATTGTTTTTGAGGGATTTGCCAGAGCACCTACAGGACTACTTAAATTATAATGGTGTCAGTACTTTAAACAAGTAACAGTCACTGTTTTATTTTTTGTTTTTTATGAGTTTAATATGCAGTCCGACCTAAATAGACAGGTCCTTTCAAAGGCTGAGCTCTAGACCCTATGACTGCGATAAAGAAGAAGGGAGGAAAGCAACTGGAAATGATGCCGGGAAGTAAATATTGTATACATGTGCACTTGAAAGTATAGATATCTACCCATTAGTGTTATTCTTTCCCTGGTATGCTATGGCACTTTTTTTTTATATCTCCCCATGCATTAAAGATAAGAAATATTTTCTTTGTTAAATCATTGTTTTTAAAAAATCACCAAATAATGTCTTTCTCCTTATAACAACTTGATGTGAGAAGATTCAGGTTATTATTCTGTTTTCTTTTTGAACCCAAATCCTCTTTCATTGTTTGATAAATCTGTTATTTTTTATCAATGTTTTTAAGGGCTTGGATTTAATTTGCTATGATGATAAGAAAAATCTTGTGTTAAATGTTAAGGACAAAATGTACCCTTTCGTCAAGCTGCTACCTTTTTGGCCTAAGTCATTTTTTACACTTCGGAGATAATTGAAAAAAACTGTCTCAGTAACTGAAAGATGCACTTTGATAGCCCAAAATTTCCAGAGCTAATTAATTTCGTAACTGTTGTCTCTGATTTAGGCCATTTTGCAAAATGACTTGAGCCATAATTTTTTTTTCGTTTTTCAATTTTGAATGACTTAAGCCATTTTGACAAGAATTTGACTGAAATGGACAGTAGATCCAAGACTGAGAGTAAAAAACTTGCCCAGGTTTTTGCCTAGGTCTGACTTAGGCTAAAATAGATGAGAGACAAATTGGCCTATGTCAGACTTAGGTCAAATTACACTAGAAAATCAATGTCACTTTTGACTTACGCCAAATGCATGAAAAAAATGTTTTAAAAATTGTTTGGAGTATATTTTAAATCTTATGTCACTATATTAAGCAGACATCAAGGAGTCCAGTGGTTCATCAGTTGCATTTTTATCCAAGTCTGACATAGGCCAAAAAGGTAGCAGCTTGATGCTATGAGGAAGTAAGGATATCTTTTTGTCATTTCAGGTGTGAAACCTGTTAATTTGAAATTTGATTAATTCGTCAAAAGTAACATTGGTCTGAATATAGTAACCTTTTGATCATACCCATGGTGAGAAATGAAAAATTGAAATATCTTTTCATTGTTGTTTGTTGAGTATGATTGATCTGAACAAATAAATGCTGACAACATTGCAGGATAAAGAAGAAGCCCCCTCCCTGAATCTTCAAGCTCATGAGAGTTCCAAGGAAGAAGAAGTGCTGGCCATCTGCAAAATGCGTGGAACTGACCCATCTGCACCTGTGAGTCACCACTTGAAGGCCCTTGACCAAGAGTACCATCACTTAGTGGACAGTGGTCAGAGAGCTAAAGCGGATGCCATTCAAAATTTGTATGCCTGGTACAGCAAAAGGGTTTCACAAGTGAGTTCAGATGTCCATATTTGCTCATGTCTGATCTTTTTATTAAGTTTGTGTTAAAATCAACTCATTGGTAGTGGGATACATCTTTCAATTAAAAATTACCAATCGCTCTGCCTGGATAGTAAACTTGAGAATGTAGTAGAGAACAACTCTATTTTTCATACTGAAGTTGTAATTTAGGCCTTTGGAAAAGCTTCACTGAAAATGTTATGGTTGAATCCATGATTTTACCTTTGATTTGTTGTTACAATTAAAAGACACTGGGTGCCGCTATACATTTTCTTCAAGGCTTTTTTAGCTGATGGACCTAGTATTTAACCTGGTTTCTACATTGTGAAACGATAGTCATGCACGATATCGTCAATGCCTCAGAATAATATCAATAAATATTTTAAGATATCACATCTTATTATTTAAAAACAACCTTTTACTCTATATCTTAGTTATGGCATAAGAAATATATTGTTGCTGTCCCTAGAAAAATTAATAATATCATTTGACCTTTGCTTTACCGGGGTATGGAAAAACATCACTCATTTTTCATGCAACATGGACGATATGCGAGTTTTTTTAGTGTCTTTATCCCATGAATTCCATTGTCATTTCAGGAAGGAGCTGCAGCACAGAAAGCTGAGGACAATGAATCACCTCTGGGTCAAGCCTTCCAGAAATATCAGGACGCTTTGTGTCTCGATGAATCCAAAGCTGTTTATAACTTTCATGTTGGACGAATGCTTGTCATACAAGGCAACTACGGGGATGCCGTAAAAAGGCTAGAAGCGGCCCTCTGCTGGAATTCCCAACATGAGATGGCCAGGTAATTGGTATTTGTTCAAGTATATGGACTGCTTGGTGTTAAGAATCTGTCATACGTCACTTTTCAAAACAGTGTATGGCAGAGTCTTAGACTAAGCAGTTGATATTTTTATGCATGTGCATGCATGCATGTGTGTGTGAGTGTGTGTGTGTGTGTGTGTATTTGTGTGTGTGTGTTTGTGTGTGTTTGTGCACATGCATGATTCAAACTCAATTTTGTTATTTTTCATTCAGTTTGATTTTAGCAAATGTTTTGCCATATTATTATTCAGTGATTTAAGTCAGCTGGACAGATGGAGATTATAAAAATTTGTTTCAAGTTTGATAATGTTATTGGTGTACTTTCTTTGTATTAGTGGTGATTCACTGGAGAGCTTCAAAATGAATAATGAGAGTGTTGCAATGTCTCTGCACAGCGGATGAAGGAAAGATGCCTTCGCTTGACTTCACATGTATGAATCTTCAGTACCACTCTCTTGTTATTTATTTAGATGACAACTCAATCCTTCAACAGTGTGGCTGCTGAGGACTTATGTGTTTTGTATTAGCTATAACTATTTTATGTTTTGGTCACAAATTATACATGAACTGCTCTGTCCTACAAGGCTGCTAATTGTTTAATTGTACAATTTATGTTCTCTTATGTGTCTTATATAATATGTGGGCCACTTCTTACTAACTTCCACCTTTGGCCTTTTGTGGAACATAGGCTGACCGTTTAAGCTCTCTCCTGTCATCACAGTCCTAGGCCAGTCTCTGCAGCTGTCTCCAGAAATTTCTGGTCCTACATGTCTATGCTATATATATGTGAGGCACCGTAGTGAAATCAGGCGCCCGTCAAAATAATGAACTTGAAGAAACAGGCAGTTTTATCCTCTAGTTTGACATTTTTATCAAATTTTTGTCTTTTGGCTCAACACTTTTATCTCCATCTACAAACACATTTCTATTTGAATTTCACTGAAAAACGTTGATTAATGGCCCAAGATAGGGCTAGAGAAGTTCCCCAACTTTGACGGCCATTTTTCACTAATTCAACCTCTGAAATCAACTTTCCGCACTTCTTTCAATTGCAAATATCTCAACTTCTATTCAAGATAAATGGGTGTTTTTTCATTGAAAGCATGGCAAATGAATAAGCTTTTAGATGCTACCAATAATTCACTCCACATGTCGAAAAACTGACGAGCACCTGATTCCACTGCATCATACGAGACAGTTACGTTTGATATTGTCCACAGATTTTACCTTGGCCTGGCCCTCAGCCTAAGTAAAGAAGACAGGAAAAAGCGTTGTGAAGAAGCCGTGGGGTTCCTGCTGGGAGGCATGGAGCTACTGTTGGCTGAGCTTTCCAAGCAGGCCAATACAGCGGAGGAGGCTAAGTATGTTGTTCTCTTTAGAGTTTTTTTGTTTCAAATGTCAAAACTTGTTGTGCAATTGCTGATATAGTCATGGGTTTTTGTTTGTATAAAGTGTGATATCTTTCTAAATGAAAACTCTCAGTGTGCAAATGTATTAGGCCTACGTGTGCTACATGTGTTTGCCATAAATTCTGTTAGGAATTTAAACATTTATGTTTTCTCCTTTTTTTTGTTTTGATTCTGTTAATGATCTTCAGTTGAAAGATGTTTGTTGCTCAATATGTCTTTGATGTCTGTTCAAAATAACAAAATTTTAGATTTCAAATTACTGTGGTGTAATTTAAGCAGTAAAAGAAAATCGTCAAAATAGCTTTGAAATTGCATTAAACAGTTAAATATTATGAGGTTATGACACAAATTCAGATTTCTTTGTCTTCTGGAAATCTAAAGCATTTTTCTTGAGTTGGCTATTTTGTGATCGCCACACTCAAAATGAGTATTGACTTAGTTGACCCCTCTTTGTATCTTTCTTTGTCTTCCTTTGCCATTTTAAGGACCGGGGGTCAGCAAACTCAGACTCACAGTAATATCAAGTATCTACCAGTTGACTATGTGTAAAGGTGACATGGCCACTTGAGTGTGTTCTTTGAATAGGCATGATAGCCCTAAATAAAATAACACGATGCTGCACTGTCATAACCAGAAATGATGTGTTGATTATCTGTGTTGGTATGACTTTGGGGCTTATGAAATCTTGATAAATTATTTTATCTATACATGTATATTTCATGTATATATTTGTATGTATGCCACTGTAATCCAGATTTTACTGTAGGGATCCGTAGAAGTGGAATTTTATAATTTTTGTTTAAAATCTTTATTATTGTACAGGGCTAAAAGCAGCCTGTTTGCTGATAACCTTGTGAGAGCAAGTAATGTGTATTTTCTGAGAGGAATAATTCAACTGGGTGGCTTACTTACAGTCAATGAGATGAAGGATGCTATGTCTGCTGAAGATGTTTTCCACACGTAAGTATCTGGGATATAAAAAGATGACAAGAACATGAGTAAAATGTCATAAACTATTTTTGTGTACTTAAGTGTTTTTCAACAATGCAGAAGCAGTGGCTTGGAGTGAGGTTTTTTCCCTTCTAATTTTGAAATTGTTTCTTTTTAAATGTTGCAAGTTTGTTATTGATTCAACTGATAAATTTTTCAAGTCTTTTGAGAAGATCATAGTTTACTGGGATATATTAAACTTGTTAGTAGTCCAAATGTATTCAGGCTTTTTCTGTGTTCAAGGACCCTCAAGCTATAGAGAAATCTGAAAAAGACAGCGAGAGGTCACATTCTCTTCACTGTTCTGTTGGGAGCTTGTTTTCATTTACTTAGAGACATCTGACCGTGGTCTTGGAGGTTTGAGGCTTCAGGGGTGGACAGGAAATGTGTTTGTTTGTCAGCTGGAGGAATGTAAGTAGCCAAAATGCTGACATTCAGATTAAATGTATACTGGTAAGGGTTATGAGTATGTGTCTAAATATGCCTGTTTTTTAAAAATAAACTGGTTTTTCTTTGGAAGAAATGTTCAACGTATAGTAGTTGGTGTTGTGACTAAAGGTATAAAAGAATAACATACACAGGTGGCTGTCTCTACATTGTCAGATGCGAAGTGATGACTGTGATTCCTTTATTGATATAAAAAGAAAAGGATACCAGAACAGGGAGTGGAGTATAGGCTGCATGAGCAGGTGAATCAAATTTGACTACAGCATGAAAAATATAGTATGTGTATAGTAATAAGAATCACTTGTGGTATCACTTGTCCACTGTGTTGGGGTCACTGCAGTTAGAACATGTCCATCTCTGCTCTCCCCTCCCCCCCCAGGATCCTTTCCAGAGTCTGTCTGCTTACTGCTTATAGTCTTCATCATAATCTGGTTGGAGATCCGGCGGACTGGTCCGCACAGGTGGCTGTGTTTCCCTTCTAGTAATAAGAATATACTTAATATGTTGCACATTGTTTGGGGGATATGGGCAGGGCAAATGAAATAATGGTCAGTGCTGATTTTAAAATGTCAAAATATATTAAATTATTAAAATTCGACTTTTATTTCAGGGCAGCATTGTTGGCTTCTAATGTTCTCCCAACAATTTGTCGAGGGGATGTGTACAAGCAAGTGGAGTGGGTGCTGCTTGATGCGCACACGCACCTACTGGACATCCTTACCCAGAAGCAGGCAGGCAATGAAGAGCTGATAGCTAGTCGTTGCCAAAGACTCTCTGCTCTCATCTTCAACTCCTCTATCTCTGGGAATACAAAGCTGTTGGAACTGCAAGAACAAGTAAGATAAAGATCAGGTTTTGTTGTATTTGTTGTTGCTTTTGGTTGGGTCAACCCCTTTGCAATTAGAAATAGAGGCATTTTGTGGGTTTACAGCCCATAAAGTTTTTGATGCATGTGAAATGTTTTACACTGTGTAATTTTTGCAAACAGAGCCACCTTATAGGTAATTTTGTCAAAAATTATATTCTCTTCTTTCAGTCACTTTTTAAGTCACAACAGAAATATTATTACACGTCTCTTTTTTTTAACCAATTGATTTACAATATAATTATCCGAATGTCTCTTCTTTTTGTGTGAAATGATACACTTCGACAGCGATAAATATTTGGCTGCCCAGCCTGGAAATGAAGCTTGGACTGTCAACATTTTCCTAATCACGTACAATACATAACAAGTATACCATAAGTATAGGACTACCTAATCACGCAGCTTGTCACAGATACAACACGGATGCGAAGGAAGCCTCCTGTTGCATCTTTTATGAGACAGTAAAAGATTATAATACTAAAGCTCAAGAAGTGTGTTAGTAGTCTCCAATCATAAAACCATCTACCCATCCAAAGGAACTTTTGTAGTGATCTCTCCCTTCTGACTGAATTAGAAATTAGATCCAGACTTTTTTGCACATTTTAGACTGAAATCTGTTTTTCACAAATTTCTGTGTTTGTCCGCAGACATGTCAGAAATTGGTGAAGATCCAGCCGTGTGTCAGTTACGCTTTGTTCCTGCTCGGGTCCTCACAGTTTGCTCTCTATGAGAACACACCGGATGACAAAGAAGGTAGTCAGATGCTCAAAGATGCCCGAGCATCATATGAGGCAAGTATTGGACTTGAAGGGAAGACAAGTGATGGAGACCCCCCACAGGCAATCTCTGGTATGATTATTTGTACATGTGAACATATGTATGTGGCTCTGAAGAGAAAACCTGTTTGAAGGTACAGAAGGTTTTTGAGATATCACTGAAGATTTAGAACTTGATTTTTATCAAAAATCAACTTGTCAGTGCAAAACTCCATCATGCATCACTTTTCAAATTGACGTATGGCAGAGTCTTACACTAAACAATCAAAATGAAGTTTTATGAAATATGGAAAGATAAGCCATTTGCAAGTCATTAGTGAAAAGAATTTTTTTCAAAGACTGTTGTAAATATTTGTTTGTTCACGTAGAGGATAGTAACTTTTATGCAATAGCTGACAATACCAAATGAAAGGTGTGTGTGTGTGTGTGTGTGTGTGTGTGTGTGTGTGTGTGTGTGTGTTTGTGTGTGTGTGTGTGTGTGTGTGTGTTTGTGTGTTAGTATGTGTATATATATATGCATCTATGTATGTGCATGCATGTGTATTTGTGTGTGTGTGTTAGTGTGTGTGTATATGGGAGTGCATGAGTGTGTGTGTGTGTGTGTGTGTTTGTGTGTGTGTGTGTTTATGTGTATTGGTGTGTGTGTGTGTGTGTGTGTGTGTGCTGTCAGTGTGAGTGCAAGATGTCTGAAACAAAACATTTTGTCTACTACTCTCTAGAACAAAAATGGTGGACGGAGCTGATCAAAAAAGAAGAAGAGGCCAAAAAAGCGGCTGCGGCCCCTCCCGTACCTACAGGGGGCACCACTGGGGCGGCTCCTGCTGCGACAAGCGCGCCTGGTGGCCGAGGGGCTCGTGGAGGGGCCACTGCTGCTAGAGGAACCCCGGCTCGTGGAGCAGCTGCAGGGAGGGGTCGTGGAGTGCAGCCTGCTACGTCGAACACTGCAGTGAAGGGAGATAAGTCCAAACATGTCTGTGTGCCGCAGAAATCAGGGGATAAGTCATGAGTTTTGTTTGTTCACATCTCGCTTTCTAGCTGCAGAATCTCGAAGTTCTCACTAGTGCTTATTTCTTTTATTGTCACTTATTTTTTTGTGAGTATCACCCTTCTTTTCTTACACCATCTTTCTATTCTTTTGTATTTGTACACAACTGAGGGGGCG